TATATAAGATAAGGTTTTCACCTCCTTTTCTCGAAGTTGTTGTTTCGTACATAGGTGTACAAAATCTCTGGGGTACCCATTGTGGTGAAAACAAATCAACCAGCTAATTTAACCCCACTCGGTAGATTTTATTGCCAGAACATTGCGTCTTCGCTCGACGTAGCAGGCTGTTGATGACACTTATTTTGCGACAGTAATGGAAAATTACTTTCTACACGCATGTTTCACTTATAAGCGAACGGTTGCTGACCAACAAATTGCGTATACCGTTAGTTTCGAGAAAAAGACGGCAACAGTAGATTGTGTGGTCCCCCTCATTAATCCCTACTTCCAGCATGTTGTCCTACGAAATTGGTGGTTATAGGATTTTATGGGTGGGGAATTAAGACACGCAGCGGAATATACTTTAATAACTGCTATATGCATTTTAATTTTATTGTATTTGGAAGCGTTGTTAATTTATATCTGTAGATTTTCCTAATCTGTATTATCCTTTAACGTATTACGGAAAAACCTGAATATCTATTTGCAGGTTTCTCGAAATTCCGTAAAAATAGAAACAGTGGTTAGGAAGCCGTCTATTTCAACTTACCTGAGGTCCGACTTACCGTTCTGAAGTTAGATTAGTATAGTCCGCAGCGTAAAGCGCCGCGCACACCTTGAATTTACATGCGGAACAACTTATTCCCAGCGGCCGCGAGAAACAACTTCGACTACTTTTTTTCCCTTTTACACTTCTAAAAATTTCCTCCTCTGCTTATCCTATTTCCCCACCCCCAAAACCCTATAACCACCGTTTTCGTAGGGAAAAATGCTGGGACTAGGTGTATATGAGGGGGACTACATGAGTTACTTTTGCCAATGTGTTAATTGTCGTGAACGCGCGAACTGGGCCGTTACGTTTCGGGTTGACAAAGCAGCACTTGTGAGACGGAGGTTTCTTGACCTTTTGTATAGTGCACTCTATCTTATATTCCTTTTATCATCCCCGGAAGAGGAAGAAGAGACGATTTCTGGTACCAAGGTGTATTG